AGACCAGCCTGAGCAAGAGTGAGACCTCGTCTGTACAAAAAAAACCAGAAAAATTAACTGGGTGTGGTAGTATGCAACTGTAGTCCCAGCTACTCTGGAGGCTGAGGCAAGAGAATTGCTTAAGCCCAGAAGTTTGAGGTTGCAGTGAGTTATGATGATGTCACTGCCCTCTAGCCCAGGTGACAAAGACTCTGTCGCAAAAAAAAAAAAAAAAAAAATCATCCAATGCCTACAAAAACTATTTTAAAATACATTAAATATAAGCTAAATCTTCAGAATGAATTCCATATAATTTGAATAAAAATTTGTAAGCGCCACTCTTGAGCAGAAATCTTAACACACTGTGTATTCATTTAATTTGGAAAGATACAAATAAATGGAAAAATATATATTTCCTGGATATAGTTAAGAGGATCAACTATAAGAAAGATGATAATTCTAATACAGACATAATACAATAACATTTAAAGTCCCCAACAGAAAATACTTTACAAATTCACAAACTGGCAGTAAAAGTCATGTCTTTGCACCAATGAAATCAACTTTCCCTTCTCTTTCCCTCTTCTATTCTTACTCTATTATAGTTTTAACTACCACCTATATGCTGAGGATTTCCAAATCTGTATCTATAGCTCAGTACTCTCCGCTGAAATCCACACTTGTCATCTGCTTCCGAATGAGTATCTACAGCTGGACTCAATCACAGACACCTCAAACTCAACATATCTAAAACTGCACTATCTTTTCTACACTCCCCCAAATCTGCTCTGCCTCCAGAATGCCTACAATCCTCAGTTTTCCAAGTCAGAAACCTGGGAGTCATCCTATATTCCTCCCACCCCTCATGAGATACCTTGCAGTTAGCCTTTTCCCTTCAAATCCCTTTCAAATCTTTAGTATTATCTCAACTAAACATTTTTTTAATGAGTCTCTACCACCTATATTTCTTATGGCCTACAAAGTACAAACTGTTAAACATAAAATACAAATACCTTCATGACCTGGCCCTTAAGTAAAAGAGGCAAAGTCCCCCTTTAAAGAAGAGGGAAATAGAAAAGTCAATTTCATTTAGCACAAAGATATGAATGACCTCTGGAAGCACATCCCACTTTGCTTCATTTTATATTCCTAAGAGTACTCAACAAATAGAAGGCACTATGTTAGGTATGTTGCATATATTATGTCATTTAATCCTTATAACACTGACATTTAAGTATTATTTTACTCAGCTGCCAAGGAATGACACTACACATGTACTATCAATCTTCGGATTATTACTTACAAAACTCCACCCATATCCTGCTTTAGATCACAGACCCAACCATTACCAAGTTCTCATGATCCACATCTGACACTAATAATCATTAGGATATATAAAAAGAAAAAAGACAGCAGCAACACTGATTCGAATGGAAGAAAGAAAGTACAGGTATGTCCTATCACCATCTGTTCTGAGATAATAGATGTAAGGCATTTTATAATACCGTCAATAAGTTCCATCACTAACTATTCTATAAAATAATCCTTAACAATATGGTTACTACAAAATATCATTTAGCAAAATTATTACCTGGCAATAAGCATAGTTTCCGAGAGCTTTATGGGCTTCATCAATAACTAGGCACTTTATTTCAACAGCAGGACATGCTCCTCTAGAAAGGTCATTTACCATGACCTGAGGTGTAAGAAAAAGGACTCTCTTACTGCACCATATTTCCTTCCTGGTGAGAGCTTGAGTAGATCCTGTAAATAAAAGTGATATTCTAAACTTCAGACTGTTATCTGTAAAATATAAATAGTCTGGCCTATTTTCAGAATGCATACATGCTTTTGTAATCTGCTTAAGAAGAGAGTAATTTGACAATTCATTGGAATGTTTCATTTTAAAGCTCTGGTGTGGTCCAAATTTCAAAGCTGGCACTTATCTAAGACCACAACTAGATTGTCTTTAGAGAATTCCTACAAAATGCCATAATATTTAAAGAGAAGCAAATCATTCGACTGGGAAATCTTTCTTGGGAAGAAAGCCAGGAAACATCATGTTCACTTACCTATGGGGTATACACATATAATAGTTTCAAAATACTCTGACAAGCTACAAGGATTCTCTGAAGATTGAATAAAGCCACCCTATTTATCAGTGTTGGGATTTGATATAAGTAGCCGACGTTTTAAGGGAGGGGATACAAGATGCGCATATTGTGGTTTGGGAACTATTTCACATGAATCAGGAATTTAGCATTCCATCAGAATGCTGCTTTTCCCTGGGTACCCAGCTCTTAATTTCATATTAGCCCACTCTTTCTAAAATACCTGTCATTTCGGCCATGTGGAACTGTGGGATACCCATCACCTGGTAGCAAGCTTCGATCTGCTGTGTCACCAAGGGTTTCGTGGGAGCCATAAAGACCACCTTGCCAGAAGGAAACCAGCGATAGAAATTGTACATGACCACGGCGGCAATAAAGGTCTTTCCCAGCCCCGTAGGCAGACACACCAGCGTGTTGCAGAACAGAGCGGTCCGGGAAATATGCAGCTGGTAGTCCCGCACTGGGCAATTGGTAGGGTAAATCCACAGGGCCCCAGCTGAGGTGCAGAACCCGCCATTCTCTAGACTTAGCTGCCTCTCAGCCTCGTACACCGCGACCAGTAACACATCATCGTCCGACTCCGGCTGAGCCTCCGCCGTTGCTGGCAAACGCGCCTTGGAGCCTCCAGGTCTCTGAGGTCGCTCAGTTCCCGAGCTGGAACAAGAAGTCCCAGAGGATCGGGAGACGCTAGAGCCCCACGTCTGGAAAAGTGTTCTTTGCCGTCCGCTCATTAGGCCGACAACCACCAAAGGCTTCACTCAGAAACCTGTAGCTGCAGCAGCTCAACCGCCAAGGTTCCAAGCCCCATCGGTTTCCTCCGGACAAAACTGCGGAAAGAGAGGGCGGGCTGCGGCCAAGTCTATCCAGTTGAATATACCGCCACAGAGTTTGTATTGGGAATACGATTGGCTGGCTACCCGGAAACCCTCTGGGCCTGAGACGCATGCGTATTGTGAAGGAGTTGCTCCAAATTTGGTCCCCTTTCCAGGTATTTTAGACTCTAAGTTTGAGTTCCGTTTCCAACGATTAGGTGTCTGGGCGTCATTGCTAATGTGATATCACTTATCTTAAAATGATAACATAAATAAACCTCGAAATCCCAGAAACAATGGAATACTAATAATTTCGTGAATTTAACGTTATTAAGTGTCTAAAGTGTCTGATTCCTTGTTGGTTGTATTTTTACACTTGATCTTAGCCAAAAGGCCGAGAAGCGATTGGTTGTATTTTTAAATCGGAAGATGACATGAAACTCAAAAAGTGTGTAAATAGAGTAACATGTTTATCTAGGCTGAGAAAACAAAAATGTTTCTTTTTCACTGTGTTAGGAATAGCAACTCATTCTTTTAATATTTTTTTATTGTTCAAAATCCTGTGGATTTACCCTACCAATTGCCCAGTGCAGGACTACCAGCTGCACATATCCCGGACCCTCTGTTTTGCAACACGCTGGTGTGTCTGCCTACGGGGACTGGGAAAGACCTTTATTGCCGCGGTGGTCATGTACAATTTCTACCGCTGGTGAATGTGGTCTGGTCCTGTTATTCATTAGAATTTTTTTTTTTAATGTAAGGCATCCTGATGTTCCACCATTACATCTTTGTTACAGATAAGAACAGTAAACATCAGTGTGCAGTCATTCTACTGAAGCATAGCTTTCTCAGACAATTTCTGGCTTCTCCACACTAAACCTGACAACTTTGAGTAATCTCTGTAAATGTGTTTATTTGTGTACTGAGGAAAAGTACACACACAACGTGGAATTGTTATAAGCATTTATAATGCCATCCTCATGACCATCAATAAGCAGCATCCTGGGTACAGCTTCATTACATTGTTTCATTTGTTCAAGCCTCTGAACTGGCTTTTAGACAAACTGTTTCTAGTGATTCCATGGGGCCAGGGAGAGGAGCTGTTTGCATTTAAGTTTTATTTGTGTACTCTTTAAATGGGAGATAGTAAAATATGGATTGCTCTGATGGACAAGTACTGAGCCAATTCGAGTGTGAATTTTTAGGCTAGAACTAGAGAAAATGGGAGATTAGGAGACTGAATGCTGCTGTTTTCTTTAAATAGGTGTCAACGGAAAAAAGCCAAACTCTGTAAAATAACTTTAAAGAGATTTATTCTGAGCCAAATTTGAAGACCATGACTGACTCGTAGCCATCCTCAAGAGGCCTTGAGCCAAGTGGACTCGCTGTGGTTGGGTTACAGCTTAGTTTTATACATTTCAGGGAGACAGGGGTTACAGGTAAAGTCATCAGTCAATACGTGGGAGGCAAACATTGGCTTGGCCCGAAAAGGTAGGCTATCTCAAGGGGGGGGGCTTACAGGTTATAGGTGGGTTTAAAGATTCTTTGGCTTGTAATTGGTTAAAGACAAGAAGCTTTGTCTAAAGGCTTGGAATGTTTTAATATAATAAGCTGTTATCAGAGATAAACCACCTGACATAGATTTGTTGTGTAAATTGAGGACCTATAGATTTGTCTTACATACCCTTAGGCTTGTTAATGGGTTATAAAGGATGTCTCCAAGAAGGGAGGGGGGCATGATGAAGCATTTCTGACTTCCTCCTCCTGGCAGGCAATTTAGTTTTAAGATATTCCTTTGGCCAGGAGGTGGTCCATTCAGTCAGGCGGTGGAGGGAGGACATTTAAAGGCATAGCAGCCGGCAGGTAATAAGTGTGGGTAATGGCTGGTAAATATCACTACCACCAGAGGTCGCCTTATAAGGGGTCCAGTTAAGAATAGCTGACCGCTACAGTCTTTCCTGCTGTTGGCTGCCAAGGCCACCTCCGTAGGTTCTTTACCCGGACTCAACAAAGAAGCCCTCACCGCACAGGTTTACGTCACCCAAGGACAGGCCCCAATCTGGCGGGAGCAGTGACCCGCCCCCTAGCCCTGGGTGAGTGTCCACGCCACGCCCCGGGGGCGGGGCGATGCCGAACCGAGGCGGGCTGGCTCAGTAAAGCGGAGGCAGCGGGGGAAGATGGCGGCAGCCATTCCGCAGCGGGCGTGGACCGTGGAGCAGCTGCGCAGCGAGCAGCTGCCCAAGAAGGACATTATCAAGTTTCTGCAGGACCATGGTTCAGATTCGGTACCAGAGGCGGCGGGGCGGCCGGGATGGTGCGGCTGAGGGACGCCTCACCCCCCTGGAGATGCCCATACATACCGTATTCCTCCGTGCCCCCGCCCTCGTTCTTCCGCGGCCCGTGGCCGGCAAGGCCGGAGAGGCCTCGCGTGCACCGGGGAGCCACGCTCCCGCCTCTCGGGCGGGCCTACTTCGGCGTGGGGAGCAGCTTTATTTCGTGGGGCACGCAGGCTGCAATCGCAGAATTACAACCTTATTGGGATCCTTCAGTGGGGGTGGAGGCCATTAAAAAAAAAAAGGACCCCTTAGTTGTTGGGGGCTGAAGCGGGAGTGGGGTGTGGCCGCCAAGGAACAGTGGCCTGGATAAGACCCCAGGAGCGCAGTGCTGGCCACTAGGGAAATGGGAAGGATTATGAAAATGTTTATGGGAACGATGTATGCAACTTGCTTTTCTCAACAATTTACTAGATACTGAACCTTAGTGGGTGTAATTTTTTAAAAACCCTTAGATTGTGGTTTAACTTTTGCTTAAAATATGGACCCGTTAAATGATCTTTTCACCTATATACTTAGGAGAGCTACACGCGAATTTCTTCTTGTGCCTTGGGCTCTCATTGTTATAAACAAACTAAGGAATTTATTTGGCCTTCTTTATACTCTACGCCCTGCATTTTCCAGCATAGTCTCCATCTTAACCGTCTATCTATAATCAAGTTATTTTTGTCAAACCAGACATTTTTGTCCTTTAGAAATTAAGATCATACATACCTCTTTTTAAATTGCTTAACTACTGTACACTTTGTTGTGCACGCACCATTCGCCACTTATCAGAAACAGAAGCAGCAACCTATACGTAGCTTCTCTGCAATTTTTTAAATTCTAAACTTGCATTTAGAAAAATGGTGGGTTATTTTGAGGGGATTGTATTTTATTTTCATTTGGGGGAGTCTTAACGGGAAGAATCAAGAACTCTCCAACCTCCATTTCCTTACTGGTGAATCATTTTGGTGGCATTCTCATCTTAGATTAATGAAGCAGATAACTAACAACATAAATACAAATAGCTATATGCTAAGTGTTTAGAGATACAAGGGTGAAAAATATTATGCATCAGGAATCTTAACACCATTTTAATGCAATTATTTTCTTTTAAGCCACTTTGTATTTCAACTAAATAGAATAGAGTAGGCATATCATTAACATTTAATGCTTCAGTACTGTGTACCTCCTCAAATTCTTATAAAACAGATCATCCCAATGTGGAATCTAATGTAAAACTGGCCCAGGTAGGATAATTTTAGGAGACTTGGATTCTCATAATATTTTTTTAGTATATTAATTTTTAAAATGCATTATTCTTCAGTGACCATTCACATACTTAAACCTATATTTGACAATGATTGTTTGATCGTAAGATATCAAGGAGATGTTTATATTTTGATTTTTTTTTGGAACTTTGCTAAGAAATCACAAGAGTGGTAAAGTAACTGATTACTTCCTTTTAATCAACTTTAATCTCCTTTCCCCATCACTTGTTAATTATTTAGAACATTAAGAAGGGAAAAGGAAGAGAAAAAGCAAAAGATAAATACAATAGTGATAGTATTAGAAAAACTGCTTTATCAAAAGCTTAGAAGATGCTAAAGGACAACTTTGAGAAAGTAACAAAATGAGAAATCAAGCAGGGACCGCAAGGTAGAAAAGGAAGCAGAATAAAATAAGAGGGAAACCCTCTTATTAAAAACCCTCTTATTATTAAAACCCTCACATTACATGATTTGAGATGAAAATATATTATGACTTGGTATTTCAGTAGTAATATTTTAGTGTCCATCTGTCAACTTAGCAGTATTATGTTTGAGAGAAAGGAATTCTATTGTTTTCTTGAGTTATTAAATACATTGTTAGGCTAAGTGTGGTGGCTCATGCCTGTGATCTTAGCACTCTGGGAGGCTACAATGGGAGGACTTGAGGTCAGTAGTTTGAGACCAGCCTGAGCAAGAGTGAGAATCCTCTACAAAATATAGAAAACTTAGCCTGACATGGTGGCACACACCTGTAGTCCCAGCTACTTGGGAGGCTGAGGAAGGAGGATCAGTTGAGCCCAGGAGTTTGAGGTTGCAATGAGCTGATGATGACACCACTGTACTCTAGCCAGGGTGACAAAGTAAGACTCTCAAATAAATAAATACATAACAAATAAATAAATTATTATTATGTGACAGGCTCTATACTAAATGCATTATATATATTACTGTATTTTATCCTTACTGCATCCTTTGACATAAATGCTATTTTTAATATTTCACTACAGATATGGAGATGATTCTTCAGGAAAGCTTAGGCCCTTGTCTAGGGTCAAACTGCTAGGATTTTACTCCAGATAATAGGACTCCACAGCCCATACATTTAACTCATTTACATAACTGCCTCCAGTCACCACAGTGTGCTGATGGTATAAATGTTCTTTTCTTTAAGTCTGTGTTAGGAAAAAGGAGGAACCACTGTGTCCCATGCATAATACTGCAGTTCTAGTCTTGTGAATAATTCTTTTACATAAGCCCAATTTTTTAAATCTAGCTTACATATCTTTTGGTAATGAATTAGGATATAAAATATGTTTTTTATGTTATTTCTTCTTCATTAGCAATACTATTAAAAACATAACTGCTGATATAAGATAGTCACTTTCTAATTTTAGATTCTACTTAAGGGAAATTATTTTGACTACCCAGCTTTTTTCTTTATAGTTTCTTGCAGAACATAAATTATTAGGAAATATTAAAAATGTGGCCAAGACAGCTAACAAGGACCATTTGGTTACAGCCTATAACCATCTTTTTGAAACTAAGGTACGTGTATTGCTACATTCTATTATCAGAATATCATTTTAGAAATTTATTTCCAAAAGGACGTTTTAAATGCATTTATTTGCAGAATGTTGGAGGTTTTCCACCTGTAAGTTTTCTTAGCTGTAATCATAAGTGGACTAGCTATTAAATCTATCAATATGACAGAATGTTTTGGTATTTTGAAAGGGACCAGATTTTGTAGCTTGAATTGAGACAACAGATTCTTAAGGCCACTGAAGTTATAAATCTGTTAGGTCAATAGGTATTACCAAACTACTTAAACATTCATACTGCTTATTAAATATTATACAAAATTAATTTTAAGTTCTTTAATGTCTGTTCACTGTGACATGATCATCTTCCACAGAAAAGAATCTTTATTAGGGAGTTTGAATAGTATTCATATCTTTGGGTCTAAGTTGGCCTTTCTAAGATCATGGTTCTCATTTCAGAATTTATATTGTGCAAAGCGAGACTCTGTCTCAAAAATAAAAAGAAAAAAGAAAGAAATAAAAGAATTTATATTGTGAGCTGGTCCAACGGTCATAATTATTGATTAAAATGCTGAACAAAATTCCTCCTTTCTTAGTCCATTTATTTATAATTGAGTTACATAACCTGTATATTTTGTGCAGATAGTCATTTAATTAAGAGGATGAAAATCTAGATGTCCCTTCTAGTTTTTAGCTTCCCCCAAGTATGATGTTACAACATTTTCTTTACAGCGTTTCAAGGGTACCGAAAGTATAAGTAAAGTGTCTGAGCAAGTGAAAAATGTGAAGCTTAATGAAGATAAACCCAAAGAAACCAAGTCTGAAGAGGCTTTGGATGAGGTTTGTGTATAATATTTTCTTGTTTTATTACTTATGTGAATTTTAGAAATAGTAGTTTCTGTATAGTGCTGATTTCTCATAATAAGGAGTGGTTTGGCCACTTTCAGTGAGCCAAACACTGATTTGGAGTATGCCATCTTTCTTAAAATGTTCTGGGACGAAATAAGCCAAAGAACTAGTGCTTTACTAGTAGTAGTCTAGCCTATGAAATACTCTTTGTATTTAAGTCACATTAACCTTCACATCTGGCCAGACCTTCTGAGCTTTCAAAGCTATTTTAAGGTCTTGATTCTATAGCCAAGTTGGACTGAGTGAAAAGAAATTTTCTTTTGAGTATTTTTAGCTTTTTCTAATGTACATAGTGTCCCTGGCAATAGAAATAATCCAGGCCTGGCTGCATGGTGTGAGTTCATCTGTCTCAACTTTGCCAACCCAAGTTTTATATTTTGGTACAAAGGTTTAAAGAACCAGATAAAATTATTTCTGTAAATGGACAACCTTAGCAGAGCTGAATTGATTGTAATCTAGCCATTTCTGATAATACTTTGCCAACTAAGATCACTCATTGCTAGCCTTACTATCAGTGATAATAATCTATCTTTAATTCTTGTATAGAGATGTAGTCTATTGATATAGAATTTGGTTATTTGTGGAAAGAATTTAAGTGCAAGTACAATATTATAGATGTTTGTATGATTGAAGCTAGTTAATTTTTATGACCTTTTCCTATTTGAAAAGCACAAATTAATGTTTGAGTATATATATACACATATGAAGCAATTTTAAAGTTTATGCAGCTAATATTTGGTAAATGTTGTATCTGTTGAGCAGCTACTGAGGTAAATAGATTAATGATTACTAAAGGGTTTCAGAAGCAATTGGCAACATACTTTACATTCCAGAAGATTAGAATGAGGATAGTATTAGCAGGCAGATAGTATATCATTAAGAGGTTAAGAAAAGGAGTTACAAATAAATTAAAAGGCAAATTTATAAGGGCTAGGGACAATCTAGAGAGATCTTGTGTGGGTCCTTAACTATATCATTTTATTTAAGACCAGGTTGGTCTTAAATAAAATGATATAGTTGAGCAGGGTATGCTTTTACCTGGCCAGTAACTGGCCAGCTTGGGCCCATTTATAATATGTACTCATCTTCCTAGCACCCTAGATACCCTAGCCTCTTGTCCAATCTGTTGCTGATCTACTCTTGTTCATGCTTTGGGACTAGAGAACAAGCATTGTAAAGAGACACATAACCATAAAATTAATTTGGTCTGGTATAAATTCATGCTCAGTATCAACCAAGCATGTTTTCTAGTTTCACTGCTACTCAGCAACATTTATACCATCCCTCACCAGATTCCCCATCACATGGCCCAAATAAACTACTTGACATTTTTCTCACAAATTCTCAATCCTGTCTTCCTTCCTTCTCATTATATGCTCCTGTGTTCTATTTTACCAAAATGTGCATATCTATAGCAATAACCATTCCCTTCTTCCCAGCTTAAAAGTTCTCTGAATCTTTGGTTCTCCTTTTCTTTTTCATTCTTTTTCTCCTTCAGGACTAATGTTTTCAGATATCTTATTTTTATTTTATTTTATCTTATTTTTCAAATCTTTATTATTTTTCCATTTTTAAGCATTCCAAGCCAGGTCTCAGACTGGAATGTTGGAAAAGTTGCTCATCATCTGGCTCCATTCTCTTTCTTCATCCATTAAGTCCCAAAATGGCTGTTTTAATAAGCTCTCTAAACCAATACTTTGTAAAGCATACCCTGCTCAAAAATCTTCAGTAATTCTGTGCCTTCTAGACCTGCACTGTTCAGTAAGGTAGTCACTAGCCATGTGTGGCTATTGAGCACTTTGGCTAGTTTGAATTGAAATGTGCTTCAAGTATAAAATACAAAGGCTTAGTATGATTTTTTTTTAAAAGAATGTAAAATATCTCACTATCTTTTATTTAGATTACATGTTAAAATGATGTTATTTTAGATGTATTGATTTAAATGACATATCCTTTTTTTTTCATTTTTAATTTATTTTTTAGAGATGATGTCTCACTTTGTTGCTTAAGCTGGACCCAAACTCCTTCAGCTCAAGTGATACACCAGCCTCAGCCCCCCAAGTAGCTACAGGCTACAGGCATATGCCTCAACAACTGGCTAATTTTTAAAAAAGTTTTGTTTTGTTAGATAGAGGGTCTCGCAATATTGCTTAGGCTGGCATCTCTTGATCCTCCCACCTCAGCCTCCTGAGTAACTGGGATTACAGGTGCAACCCACTGTGCCTGGCTTATACTTAACTGCATACATTTCCATAGCACATTGTGTCTTTATTATTTATACCTTATATACTTTAAAGAATCTTGTCTAATCGCTATTACTGGACTTTAAGTCAGTCATAGTCGATATATTTTGTCCATTATCAATTAAATATTGTTAAGGAATATTTTCAAGTGTAATTGAGTATTGTACAGGGGAAAAAATATAAGTTGGGGCAAGAACTCACACTCAGCAGTCAGAAATGAGTATAAAAGTACTTAAGCCAAAAACTTGATAACTTCTTTGTATGTAATCATTACCAATTTCTGTTGATGCTGCCTCCAGAATATATCTCAAAGCCATTCATCTTTATCATCTTCACTGTTAGTACCCTGGTCTAGACCTAGACTACTATAATTTTCTTCCTAATAAGTCTCTCCATTTCCACTTTTGCTTCCCAATTCATTCTTTATACTCTGGTCATAGTCATCTATTTAAAATACAAATCTGATTCTATAACTTCTCTGTTTAAAAAGCTTATTTACAAGGAACAGAGGGACGACCGGGATGCGGCTGCGCCTCGAGCGCTATGATAATCCTACCCACTCTGGACGCCCGAGGCAGGGCGCGACTTGCTCAGGTCAAGGAGTTCAAACCGCCTGGCAGCGAGACCCCGCCTCTCTGACTATAACAAGAGAATAGAAAGAGAAACTAATGGCCAGATATGATATATATATATAAATTAGCCAGGCGATGGTGGCTCGATGCACCTGTAAGTCCCAGCTACTCGGGGAGGCTGAGACAGGAGGAATCGCTTCGCAGCCCAGGCAGCTTTGAGCGGTTGCTGTGAGCTAGCGCGATCGCACGGGCACGTCACCTCACGCCATAGGCAAGAAAGCATAGACTTGTCTCAAAAAAAAAAAAAAAAAAAAGCTCTATTTGGGAGCCGAGGGCGGGTGGCTCACGCCTGTATAATCCTAGCAGCTTTGCGGAGGCCAGTCAGGGCCGGATTGCTCTAAGGTCAGGAGTTTCGCAAACCAGCCTGAGGCGAGAACCCTGGTCTCTACCAAAAATAGACAATAAATAATGACAAGATAAATGTGTATATGAACAAAGGGAATTAGCCCCGCGCATAGTGGCGCAAGGATTGCCTGTAGTTCCCAGCTAAAACTTTGCGGCGCTGAACGGCAGATTAGCATCGCTAGAAGCCCGGGCGAGATTGGAGCGTGCCTGGAGCCAGGCTGAACGCCACGGCCAAGCTCACCTACTAAGGCTAACAACCCGAAGAACTCTGTCTCAACAGAAAAAAAAGCATATATTGCGCGCCACGGCATATGGTGGCCCAAACAGCCGTTGCTAAATCCTAGCACTCTGGAGGCCAGAGGCGCCGAGAGAGAATTGCATCAGCCGTCAGAGTTTCAAACCAGCACTAGAGGCAAAGAAAGTGAACCCTGGCTAGTACAAATTAGAGGAAATTAATTGAGAGCCAAAATAAAAAATATATAGAAGAACAAAAATTAGCCCGGCACATGGTGGCGATAGCCTTTAGTCCAGGGCTACTCAGGGAGGCTGAGGCCAAGAAGACGCCTTGAGCCCAAGGAGTTGAGGATGCCTTGGAGCGTAGGCTGACGCCCACAGCCACGGCAGCCAAGGAGTGAGGGCTCTGCTCTCAAAAAAAATAAAAGTAGGATAAAAAGGATTGGCGGGCTGGGCGGCCCTACTGACCTAAAATATAAAGAGGAAACTAGATTCCGAACGATCATGCAAATCTTCTCTAGCCTCGAGTTCAGCCATTCGGCCCTTAAAGATCGCCCTGCGCGTGCAAAGCAATAAGGATATATTTCATTGTTCTTCCACTTGCCTATGAAAAGTGTATTCCTGATTTAAGCCGTTTCCTTCCATTACCGTAGCACCTCTTCTGTCCTTCAGCATATAATTTAAATATCACTTCTTCAAACCTCTTCCCAGCTCATGCCTCTACCTCGGTTAGCGATCAACTGTGCCATTCGTAATCTTACCACCTTGCGCTGTTCCTCATATAGTCTCACATGTAAAATGATCCCCAAAACAAATATACCCTTGCAAGAAAGTACAGAGCAGCGGCGCGCGACCCGTGTGCCCAAACTCACCTATGTAGTATTCTCTATTCTAACGCTTGAACCATAACCGTCGGTATCCTGGAGCTGTTGGCAATAATTAGAACGTATACTATGCTCAAATACTCTTTTAGAGACTAAAATGTGATCCACTTAATTGCAATTGTAATAATTACTCTCAAGAGTTCCTTTATCTCTCGGCTTCTTTAAGTATTCTGTTCAAGAACCCAATCTCAGAATTGCTAGTGTCTTTTCATCACTCTGCGACTGAGAGGTGCCGCGAAAAGCAAGAACTGAGTAGGAACACCAGGGCCGCTTTCAAGAAGTAGTGGTTCAGGTTGGCGAGTAGACTGATCTGACCTCGTACCATGAACCAACCAGGTTCTTGCAATGAAATTCAGAATCAGATGAAATAACTAGAGCAGCATTTGTCAAAGTGTGGTAGATAGGGCCAAGAAGCTCCAGGTTGCTTTCTGGGGTCATTAAAACATGAACCTATGTCTCCTACTTGAGGATTCACAGTGCATATCAGCTAATGACAGCTCTGAGAAATCATGCATAACAGAGGGCTACTTAACTTGGTTAGTAGTGTTTCCCAAACTTAATTACATTAGACCCCTTGCCAAGGAATGAGTGATCCATAAAAAACACTTGTGAAATACTGAAATGAAGGCCATTTGTGGGAAGATTGGGACGACCACCTTTCAGACTGAGCCATAACCACCTATTTAATATATTTGCGTTATTCTAGAATCTCTAATGGAACAACAAATAAGAAAACAATGCAGTGACATTAAAATTTTAAATGTAGCTATTATTTACTAATCAAATCTTATCCATTCAACTGATTAAATGCAATTTCTTTAATAAGGCTTAAGAAATTTTGGATATTCACACATAATTATTTTCTAATTTGGGACATGTTACTAGATTTTGTCAATCAACTTTATTAAGATTAAAATCCTGAATGGCCTAGGCCTTTGGTCACAAAACTATAAGCAGTAATTATTAACATCACTCCAAGAATTACGTGGAGGACTGACTGAAGGTGTCAAAGACATTAAAATTGTGAAAACAGATTTTATTCAGTCTGCTGATAGTTGGGAAAAGAGCTGAGCTGCCTTCCACTGGGTTTTTTGAAAGAATTGAGGGAGTAAGGATGGACTTGAGCAGTTAGGGAAGTGAAAATTACAAAAAGCCAGAAGAGGAGAGATTGCTCCATATGAAAAAACCAATCTGGGTTTGCTAACTGGTGCTCATCAAAGTTAGACTCCTTCCTACCCTCTGGAGGCTGGGAGAAGGGTCCTATCTTTAGATGTTAGGTAGAACAAACAGTAAATTCCTTTAGCAGCCTTGAGCTGTTAGTGTTTGTTCAAGTCTTTACAGGCCACAGTTGAGGCCTAGTTGAGAAGAGCACTCTCAGAGGATCTTGGCTAGAGCTTGGTCAAGGAGAAAATTTTTGTCAAAGGAGTAGACTCTTTGAAGGGAGATGAGACTTTCTTTCCACTTGACAAGTTTTGGATAGAGATAAAATTCCGGACTAGGGAAGTGAAAGTGAATTAAAATTTGCATGATTTAACCAATTATAGACAGATGAAGTGTAAACAAAAAGTTTCTCTTGCTTTCCAAACTCAGGAACCCAATCTTTGAAATCCAACCACACACTTGCTACTTGTTTTATGAAATTTAGGAACCAAATAATGGTTTTGGATAATGTAGATTCCTCCCTGTGTGAATTCAGAAACCAAATATATTTAAGTAAGGAAGATACTTTTACATTTGCTCCAACTTTTTTTTAATCCCCTAAAGAGCCTTTTTTGTTGTTTTGTTTTTTTATAGTTTTTTAAATTTATTTTACTTCAGCATATTATGGGGGTACAAATGTTAAGGTTACGTATATTGCCCATGCCTCCCTGCCCCCTCATTATATAGTTTTTATTGAGGTTTAATTTACGTAAAATGAAATGCTCAGATTTTAGATGTACAATTCTCAGTGTTATGATGAATTTACTCCCCCAGGTACCTCCCATCCTAATTAAGACATGAAACATTTCCATCACCCCAAGAAATTTGTTTTGTGCCTCTATTTAATTCTTTCCACGTGGGCAGCCACGCCACTAATCTTTTCCCTGCTCTAGGAATTCATATAAATGGAATTATAGAGTATATAGCCTTCTGTGTGTTTCTTTTGAGCCACATAGTGTTTCTGAAACCCATGCCACTTACTGCAAGCCTGTCTACCTCTTGTGTTCTCCTGAATGGGAATCATTACATGTGGCCTTTTACGTCTGGTCTCTCCCTACTTTGTAGAGGTGAACAGCCAAAAACATAAGGACTGAAGCGTGGAGAGCCAACCTGGGATTCCACAGTGGGATAGAGGCAGTAAATGTTGGGGTCTTGGCAGCAGCCAAAGTGGCCAAGGAAGACATCCACAGGGCCCTTGACATTGGGGTATAAGCTGAGATGGTATGAGGGTGCCTGGTGGCCTGTGTAGACAGGGGCTACAGGATAGGTGGAGTTCGGGGATCTGGGTTGTGTGTCTGTATTTCTCTGGCTGGGATTGGTCTTGATTCCATCTTCAGGTATCGGTGGCTGTCAAGGGGCTTGTTTTTGCTGCACGTTCTTGCATTTTGCTTTCTTAAGTTTTGCTCTGTGGTTCTTGAACCAAACTTGTAGTACTGTCGGGTGTATGTCAATTTTTGAGGCCATCTCTCTCTGAAGGCTGGGGTTTGGGTATGGGTTCTCATTGAACAAGATGTTCAAAGCTTCCAATTGCTTCTCAGTGAACATGGTTCATTTTCTGTGTGGATGCATCTGGTGTGTGCCTTGAGGAAGCTCCTCAGAGCCTGACATCTTCTAATCCAGACCTGCGCCTCTCATCAGATCCAGTGACAAGGGCTCCCCCTAAAGAGCTTTGACAGATCATTTTCTCCATGCTTTCCTCACACATGTGAATTAGCATTAATTGCCTGTAACCTTTTTTGTTAAAGGCCCTGATAATCCTACTTTATTCTAGAAAATATGCCAGTTATGGCAATTTTTATAGGTAATTTCATTCATTGTGTGAACTTATTTTCAATTCCAGAGACAGAGGCAACATCATTGTATTCATTCTAATTAGATGTAATAAAAACATTTGGAAATATCAATTATTGTTGCTAAAACAATTCAGATGTTTGGGGGGAAAGTCAATATTTTATTTAATGCATTATAATTTTGTGGGAATTAAATAGTAATGATTTTTTTAACCTTAGGAAATAACTAGATTCATTTTATAGTTTGTTGAATAATAAACAAAACAAAATCTTGTCAAAATAATTTTTGGTTTCCAAAGAAGCTGGAAGTTATTTGAAATTAAATTATAGAAGTATAAGTTACTGATTTTCACATCACAGCCTTGAAATGAGAAAGTTTATTTTTAACTTACAGAGGTGGACTAGAGTATGCATAACAGCAGTTTGTTATCAAATCTATCAAACTCAATGATCGGACTCTAGTCATTGTTGGCTATTTAGATATTCTCTTTTTAATGACAATGAATTAATTTTGTTTTTAGGGTCCACCAAAATATACAAAATCTGTTCTTAAAAAGGGAGATAAAACCAACTTTCCTAAAAAGGGAGATGTTGTTCACTGCTGGTATACAGGAACACTACAGGATGGGACTGTTTTTGATACTAATATTCAAACAAGTAAGTCTAAATGTAATCTTATCTTTTTGGCTTAAAGACTTTGCAAGATATTTGTGTGGCAGAAAGATGAGTGGTTGGCATTATCATTTTCTTAGCTGTCCATCTACTGTTTTCCAGAGACCTTTTGTACTTATGATTTACTTGAAAGAGGTCTTTGGCTTACTGATTATTGGCTGGCTAAAGACTTCTTATTCATTGGGAAGTAAAATATAAGGAAGCTTAATGTAAATTTGGTTAATGCCCCAAAGTTATGCTTTAGTATTTTAACAGAAAAGGTAGTTTCCTATTTTATTGGTATAAATATAGGTCCTACTCCTTTACCCTTGACCGTATAATTATTTTAACATCTAGAATTTCTTTATGAATTACCTGGCTTTCTAAATATTTCTTTCTTTTCAAATACATAGTATTATAACTCTGAAATCAATTAAACTATATTTTTCCAATGAAACTTAATATTTCAATAAAAAATTAGTGTATCATTAATTATAAGGAAAATCTGTTTTACAGGTTCAAAGAAGAAGAAGAATGCCAAGCCTTTAAGTTTTAAGGTTGGAGTAGGCAAAGTTATCAGAGGAGTAAGTAAAGAATGGCAGTGAATCAACAGATATTCTGGCATGTGCTGTTTGTGGTATGGTGTGGTAAAAAATTAGGATTGGGGATATAATGAAAAGAGATCAGTCTCTGGAGTATGACAGAGTGGGTGCTATCATTGCTTGCTGATCTGGCACAGTTTCCCCATCTATAAAATGAGGACAGTACTGCCTTACCTCAGGGTTTTTACAAGATTAAATGAGCATAACTTAAAGCACCTAATATAGTAGAGACTCATATATTAGTTTCTTCAGTCTACCCCTTTTATTCTTTTTCTTCATAAAGTAATTCTTTGTCAGAATGTTTGGCCCATGATTCTTGTAAAATGTTACATAGCTATTGTCCAACTTACATGTAATCAGGAAAAGTAAAATTATTTATTCCGCTGAAGTATTCATAGAAGCAGGAGTTTGTTTTTGTAGTCTTCTCACCTCTCACCTGGGCTCCAACTCCAGAAAATCTTTCAAATATAAGCATGCTTTTACCCACAATTTCAGAAAAGGGTAAGTATGGCTTGAGCTGTAATTACCATTACAGTGTACAAAAGGAGATAAAAGAGCAGAGCTGATTGTCTGCTTTGCTGGATCAGGTTTTCATGTTAGAGCCCACCCATTATTTGTTTTAAATTGTATTACTGGCCAGCCTGAGTGGCTCAGGCCTATAATCCCAGCACTTTGGGAGGCCAACATGGAGGATTGCTTAAGGCTAAGAATTTGATACCAGCCGGCTGGGCACAGAGGCATGCACCTATAGTCCTAGCTATTTAGGAGGATCACTTGAGCCCAAGAGTTCAAGGTGGCAGTGAGCTTTGATTGCACCACTGCCCTCCAGCCTGTTTTTTTTTTTTCTAAAAAAAAAAAAATTAATTAAAATTAAAAAATTTGTGATTACTTAGTATATCAAATATTGATAACTGAAATGCTTATTTAAATGCAGGACGAACTCTCAGTATACTACTCTTTGTATTGTGGGTTCAAACAATCATATCCAGAGTCCAAAACAAAATATAAAACATCTTGAAACTTTAAAATTGAGTTGAGCATAACTGTTTTGCTACTTTTCTATTTAACTTATCTGCATACTGGTAAATTTTTCCTAATCCACCATAGTGTTAATTTCCAGATATGACAGATCTAACTGTATCCCTTGAGCTTTATGTGATTGTTGTGTTTCAACAGAGTATATAATATTAGGAATATACTTTTATCTTTGTATCATGTTGATTTAATTGTTTTTGGCAACTGCCTTTAAGATCCAAATTTGTAAAAAAAAAAAAAAAAAAAATGGAGCAGTGACCCAGAAGCCTTAATCATTTCTTCAAAAAGTTAGTTTTACTTTTTACAATAGATTTTATTTATTTTATTTTTATTTTATATGCCATAATGACTCCACTATTATAATTTGATAATCTTAGAGCAGTTTTAGAGTAAGTACTTGATATTTCATTTTTTTCTTCTAAGTCCCCATTAACCTTGCCACCATCGAAGACAAAGATTTAGGGACTCATCCAAGGACATTACCTTAGGATATAGTAAAATCTAGTAACAGAATGCTTATATATATGTAAAATATATATTATATATATGTATATAAAATAAAATCTTGAGTCTTCAGGTATTCCATGTACTTTTTACAAAGTTGTTATTAGCTTTCATTTTGTTCTTGCCTTTAGTGGGATGAAGCACTCTTGACTATGAGTAAAGGAGAAAAGGCTCGACTGGAGATTGAACCAGAATGGGCTTATGGAAAGAAAGGACAGCCTGATGCCAAGTATCCTTTTTTCCTTTCATAATTAAATTTAAAAAAAAAACAGTAAAGAAAGATTATTGGAAGGTATGAAAGATGCTATCTAGTCTAACCTCCAAATCAGAAATCCTGTCCTTCCTGATATTTAGATACTTAATGTCAACACACCCAATATAGAAAACAGTTAATATTTTCTATTGGTACAATGTATTACCACTTGAGCTAGAATCTTGCTTTTATTCTCTTATTCAAGTTCTTAATCTTAAGACCTTAACTGTTATGTTTAAGTTTTTATCTTTGAAAGGCAATTCTTAATGTTTAAAGGGTTTGGGTTTACTTCAAGAATTTATGCTGTCCAATACAAACAACTATAGGAACTGATACAAATATGGCTCATGGTATTTTCATGCTACTGATAATTTCAGGCAATTCAATTCAAAGCTTAGAAATGGAGTACATGTTGGGGATTATCAGTTGTAAAATGAAGGAGACCATAAGACCAATGTAGTGTTAGTAAGCATTATTTATTACTACTAATGATGTATTTCTCTGATAAGTCCAGTTTGTGAACATCTAAAAGAAAAAAAGCAATGACTCCATTTAGACTAGACCTATCTAATAGATAAGTGGGTAGGCAGTTTATAGCTGTTGTTGGTTCCATTCCCATTGGACCAGTTAGAATCTAAGTTTGGAAAAAAATTTTTTAGGTCTCTCTACAGTCATATGCGTTAAACTTACTTGGGAATATAATAGCTGTCTTCTTAGTTTATCAAAATTATGGCCATAGGCTGGGCATGGTGGCTCACGCCTGTAATCCTAGCACTCTGAGAGGCCGAGGCGGGCGGATTGCTTGAGGTCAGGAGTTCGAGACCAGCCTGAGCAAGACCGAGACCCCTGTCTCTACTGTAAATAGAAAGAAATTAATTGGCCAACTAATATACATAGAAAAAATTAGCCGGGCATGGTGGCACATGCCTGTAGTCCCAGCTACTCGGGAGGCTGAGGCAGAAGGATTGCTTGAGCCCAGGAGTTTGAGGTTGCTGTGAGCTAGGCTGATGCCATGGCACTCACTCTAGCCTGGGCAACAAAGTGAGACTCTGTCTCAAAAAAAAAAAAAAAAAAAATCATGGCCACTTGCAACTCCTCCTTTCCCATGTGAAGCATCTCAGGACCAATCGGATACACATAAATTACACCCTTCTCTGAATTTAGCATCTTAAAATTCACAGGAAATATGTACTACCTCACATAAACTTTAATACAGCATATACACAGAGACTGAAATTACTTTTTTTTTGAGTACTTAGTAGCAGCCTTCATTAAGTGGTAGCTAATTTTAAAGTACTAGTAAGGCATCCAGGTAAGGATGATCCCAGTCCAAGCTCAACTCATCTATCTAGTTAGTTTATACTGATAAGTTATGCTTTCCATTTATCATTATAGATACTTCTAGGAATTTCTTTGCTAGTTATGTATTAGCCTCTGAATTAACTACAAAGCTCTTCCCTTTAGGGTTGTTAATATCCAGTATACCCAATTACAGTTTTAGACTAAGGTTGTTGGGGGTAGGAAAGAGGCACTTTTTGTCAAATTCACCTTGACTTTTTCAACAGAATTCCACCAAATGCAAAACTCATTTTTGAAGTGGAACTAGTGGATATTGATTGAAATAGCAGATTCAGTTCTAAAGACATCAGTAATGATAAAACTTGGCCTTGAAAAAACTTATGTAACTAATGAGAGCTTGTTACTATTGTAAAGGAAGAGTCAACTGGAAAATTCAAGGAATTAAGTTAAAACTTGTTTACTGGACCCCAACTTTTGAGAAATGTAATCCTTATAAATCCCTGAAATCAAATATTTTACTACAGCTGTGTAAAATATTAGTCAAGGAGAACGTTTTCCTTTTACCTCATGTTGTAAACTAAAAGGCTCAATAAAAATTTATCCACTGTCTTGATGTGATTTGTTTGGTGTTAATATAGTATTGTTCTGATTAGATAATCAGGACTAAGACCTCATCATACCAGGGAGTAACTCATAGTAAAACTGTCTAGGCAGATTTGCCAGAGACACTCATAAAATCTTTAAATATTCCTGTATAGTGAGAAGGCAAAAGCACAGAGCTTAAGAGGAAGCAAAAAGCTAAAAGGTCTAAGAAATACTGGCAGGAAGATAATGGCTAAATTCAGGAAAAGTGCACCTCAAAACCAAGGAACCACTAATAAAGTTATTATTAGTTGAACCACCCCAAAATAAATTCATAAACGATTGCTCGATAAGTCTTCAGTTTTATTACAAAAATGAAGATGATCAGTTTGATCAAAACAAAAGCTTGTTCACAAGTTTTACATGAATATTCTAAATACAAAGTCTCCTGAAACAACATATTTTTGATATGATTTTCATTTTTTAAAGGGATGCAAACATTCCATTTCTCATTTATAATCTCTATTCCAAGGCATAGTATTTTAATAGTGTATCTTTTCTGCAGTTAGATCACAATTCACAGGTATAACTGAAACACGCAGACAAAAAACCTTGTCAGCAAAGGTTAAAAATCGTTTGTTTTTTTTTTAACAGAGGAAGTAAATCCTTAATAACCAGCCCTTATGTGTTTTTAAAATCTTGTACTACACTGACATGATTTGCAGTCAGGTTTTTTTTCCTACCCTTAAGGCTACAAAACTCTTGCAAATGCCTTGCAGAAGAATTCTAGACCACGTAATGCAAAAATCAAAAAAATAGTTCTCCAATAAAAAGTAAGTTTTACAAATGGTAGGAAATAGTATCTGTGGTAAGCTAATAACTGACATTTTCCCCTATTACTAAACAAATCATGTTACACAGAAACAGGGAAGACAAGTTATCAAATACGACAAGCTTATGCTATGTTTACATCCCTCATTAAAAAAAAATAATTTCATACTTTTCACACACTCCATCTGAAATTTACATTTTCCCATCAGGTTGGAGGGGGAGGGTAATACTGTCCATAATTCCAAGGATTCTGATAATTGTACTGAAAGGAAACAAGTAAACATGTTAGCATACTAAAACTATGGCTGAGTTCCATATATAAAAAAATAGTTAAAACAGGTATGTTAAAAAAAATAAGCATGTGTTCACTGCTAAAATTCTAACTTAGCCACCAAAGATGAAGTATTATACAATCTGGAACAAAAGCAAAGAGATGTATTTCTAAAAAAATGTCCTGATTTATGCTTCTAAAACATCTATGAACAAAGAATTATAATTATGTGGACTCACTTGATACCAGGCACTATAATTATATACAGCTTGATTTGCCTGTAAATCACCATCAATCATCTGTGCAGATGATGGAGTTGTATCTTCTGTGTGTGCTTTCTTTTCTTCTGGTTCTTCTGATCTAGATAAAAGGCCAAAATGGAAACTTTCAAAACTCCCACAGATGAGAACTTTGACAAATAGATGAATGTCATCTGTGTATATTTGTTTTACTCAAGGTTTCAACCACCCAAGATTTTTTCAAATCACAAAGCATCTGAATTACAACATAAAAGTAACACTTAAAAATATTTGTCATTAAAGGCATTTCCACAACAAAATTTCTATTAAGCATCCCTTTCTGATTCAGCTAGAAGCTACATACCCATTTTCTGCTTTCCTTTTTAAAGAATCCTGTTCTTTTAAGAGAGTTTGATGTTCATCATAAGCATTCAGAAGCCTATGAAAGAAGAAAAAAAATACTCTGGAATATACAATAAATCAAACTTTTTTTTAAAAGATTTTAAGTTATTTCCACTTAGGGAAACTGCCTAAGTAAATTTATAAGTGGCTCATTTATTTTTCATTATCATTCCCTTTTAAAATAATACAATAATCTTAGTCTGGATATTCAGACCCTCCATTATGTATACTTGCAAGAGACTAAATAAAATTGTGTTGAATCTCCAATTTCTCTGCCTATAACTGCCAAAATATGTCATTTCATTTCATAAATAGTCAAAATTCCAATAACTTGCTACTGTCAACTGCTTACACGTGCTTTTCAACTCAGTCCAGCTTTCAAGGCACAGCACTATCAAAATTATACTTACACTACTTAAAAAATCCTCCAATTAATCATATGGTACTTTTATATGACTTTAACTTCTGTCATTGTGTCCTACCCCCAAGCTTATCAGAATCCAGTAGTAACTAAAAGTAACCACCTCCTCTGTGAAGCATAGCAAATGCGTTCTGATCCACAGAGATCATGGCCTTCTTAACAGTTATGCTCCCTCACACATACACTTAGTTATTTCCTCTGATAATGATACCATTCAACTAGACTAAAACTTAGAATTACATATCTTGTTTCTTTTGTATACCTTCTTCAGTGCAAAACAAACAGAAGACACTAGATATACAGCACATGAAGAGTAGAAACTTTGAAGTAGGTTCCAATCCTAGGTCCACAATGTACTAATAGCAAATTAAATGGAGAAATTGCCTAATCTCTTTTTAATCCCCTCTTCATCTATTCATAGAACAATACCTATAACCTTCATTACATTGCTATGAATTTTACATTAGATATTAAATATATAAAGCATTTAGCACAATGCCAAGTACTCAATATTAACTATTAATATAAGTTAAACTAAAATTTTACACAGTCATAAAAAAATATATACAAAGAGACAACAAGTAATTCTGTTTATCTATAGTGGTTTCAATGGAAATCACTCTAAATGAGAATAATCAGAGAAGGCACATGCCTAATAGGCACTGAAATACTTCCTTACTAGAATCAGATAAGGCTGGGACTTTAGCAATGCTCTAGCCAATTATTTCTACTCTTCTGTTTAGCAAATTTAAATATTAAACTTGTACTCTTCCCAAATCCCTTAGAGCAAACCCTCTACTACCTTCAACTTTCAGGCTTTTACAATGCAAGAAGATGAGGCCATTAGGCGTGATGTGTGGGATTATTTCCATCCTCTTCTCCAATCTCGGACAAAATGGCATTCCTATTCCAGATTAACCCCATCCATCTTTATTCACCTATATACTAAATGTTTATGTGTTTCAGGGTTCAATCCTTGTCTCATTGCCCTTTTCACAAATTGCTGCTTCCTGCCTTCTTTCATTCACTCATGGTTTAAATTATCATTCTAAAACTGGGAAAACAGTTTTAAAGGAAAGACAAACCATATGGCCTCCTGTTAAGGACATACACATTTACAAAACTATATTATATTCCCCACATATATCTGAGGAAAAAGTAACCTAAGCAGGAAACATTTTAAAATTTAACAATGTATTAATCTGTACTAACCATCAAATTCCCATACAAAAATATCAATGACCATTGACAATTCAAATAGATAATATAATTAAGATCTTACTTATTAACGTCTGAACCAAAATCTTCAAGAAATTCCACTTTTCTCTGAGAAAATGTAATTCTCATTTTGATAGGTAATGAACCATGTACAGCTTTGTCAAAACAATTTAGAATATTTTCTTCATTTTGTTTGAGGTCACCACTATATTCCATTTCAAGTAAATTGAGGTATAACTTTGTGTTCTCCTGTGTAAAAAGCAGTATCAATTAATAATATTTCTAAAATATTTTGATTAAAGCACAGATACTTAAAATGCCATAATTTTTATGTCTCAATACTGAAAATTATATTGCATAAAATAGAACTCATACTAAAGGTTTTTAGCATACATCTAAAAGAGTGAAAAAAAATTAGTTAGCACATTAATAGGTAGTGACATCAACCTAGTATCTCCCCCAAACTATGCAAATTATACAGGGTCTCACTCTGTCACCAGGCTAAAGTACAATCAAACTCCTGGGATCAAGTGATCCTCCTGCCTCAGCATCCTGAGTAGCTACAACTATAGGTGTACACTACCACACCTGGCTAATTTTGTAACTTTTTTGTAGCAATGGGGTCTCGCTATGTTGCCCAGGCTGGTCTCAAAGTCCTGGCCTCAAGTGATCCTCCTGCCTCAGCCTCCCAAAGTGCTAGATTTACAGACATAAACTACTGTACCCAGCCTATAAGACTGTCTCTTAACCAGACCTAGCAATAGCTAAAAACCTAAAAATGAGGAATTTCCTATGTACTGCCTTTTATCAATTGATATAAAAAGAAATACTCTGAAAAAGAAAAATCAACTCACTGCTACATTTGCTATAATATAGGCAACTACTATGCTTTTGTTTATGAAATGTTCCTCCAGGCCCTCTGTTCTACTTAAAAATCTGTAAATTTCCTATAAAATTTCTAAAGAGAAAACAAAGTATCATCATAATGTCTTCACTTTTTAATCCATTAATCTTAATTTTCTCAAACTTTTAGTTCAAAACAATTTGAAAACTTTTTTTAAATGGCAACATCAGTTTAGAGGGACTGTTGTCCTCATTTAGTAATAAAATATATTACATACAGACCAAATCTTTCATCACAGTTGCCAAACTTAAAGAAGATTGACCACTGATGTTTTATAGAAATTATCCTAAAAAATACAAATACATACTTTGTCTCTTTCAATTGCTTCCAAAAGCACCTTTCTTGATTTTGGAAGATTTTTTTGTATTTTGAAAAGATGTCGGGCTAGTTTGACAGCATAGAATGAAGACTCATTATTTGATTTGGCATTCTTAATGGCATCCTGAAGTAAATGTTCAGCTTCTTCCATATTTCCATGCCGTCGTTCTAAACTTACTCTTCGCAAACGAACCATTGCCAATCCTAGAACACATTCTTCAAATGTTCTCAAGATATTCCTGGCTTCATTAATATTACCTAGAAATGGTAATTAAATGTTTATGCTTTTGTTTAAATTTCTGAAATATACTTTATGCCAGATATTGGCAAACAACCACCCATGGGCTAAATCCAGCCCTCTGCCTGATTTTGTAAAAATAATGAGAAACAGCTATGCTCATTTATGTATTTATTTACTTTTTATTGT